TCAGGGTCTCGTGGTCCTGATGCAGATTGACAAAACGGACATAATACATTCTATTTGGGCTTTGCATAGCTTATATGATGTTGGAGAAAGGGGGTGACTTACAAAGACAGTTCCAAAAATGGCAACTATCCCATTCACAGCTGTATTGGAAAATCCACATCCAAACAAATCCTATAGCTTCTCAGCAGCCACACAAAATGGTAAGAGGAGAGTGGCCTCAAGGTCCCCCCACCTCCCCTGCTCCCTCCCCTTATATAACCATAGCCCCTCCCCTTAATGGGTTTGACTCCTTCCATAAAGCATGAGAAGGAGGTGATACCATAGCTTGCTGTCATAGGGTCAGAGGAACTTCTGGGTCGCAGTCCCTGAGCCCTGGGTGGGTGTATTTTAATATAGGAGTCCTGTCCAAGGAAGCATACCCTGCAGACTCTTATTCTCTATATTTTGGCCATTTGTGACCTTTTGTGTTTCTGGCTTGCATGAGGGAGCGTCTTTGATGAGAATTGAAAGATGCATTAGTGTTCTCTTCATCCCTATGTTCTGTGAGCCTTAGGTGTAGAGGTTGCGTCCTAGATGTGCCACTTAGGTTTGGGCAGTTCACAGACAATCTCTGTGTGTGACCAGTTGTGGAACTCTGTAATAATTTCTGTCTGTTGAAAAAGAAGCTTCTTTGATGGGTGGTGACTAGGATACTTGTCTATAAATTTAAGGGTTCATATTTTGCACATAGTAAGAAATTATATTTGTCTAGGGATGTGACAGCCTTAGAGTTTTCTCTAAGATCTATGTTCTCTTCAGCTATGTGTATTTGGCTAGGTTTACAGTACCACACACGAGTTTCCTCTCATTGAGTGGGCTTTAAGTCCAATTAGGCAGCTGTTGATTACCCCCAAGATAAAAGTGCCATTACTGTACCAATGTTTTTTGCTATACTGGTCATTGATGTGGTTTTTAGACCTTGAAGCTGGGGTTGGACCATCAATTAATGTTCTCCCTTCGCAGCTTGCATAGTGCTCTCCAAAGCTATGAGAGCCTTCAGGGAAGTGACTTCCAGGTCAGTTCTAGCTCCATTGCTCCAAATCCTGTGTCCAAAATATGTCCTGTCTTCAGCAATATGATCTTTCCATCAAGTTCTGGGAGGCAATCAAGGACTGTGGCAATAGCCTGTGTAATTTGGGGAGTCTGTTGGACTACCCTGGCCAACAACTCAAAGGAAGGTTTCTCCTGTCTAGCCTTCAGGGAAGTGACTTCCAGGTCAGTTTTAGCTCCATTGCTCCAAATCCTGTGTCCAAAATATGTCCTGTCTTCAGCAATATGATCTTTCCATCAAGTTCTGGGAGGCAATCAAGGACTGTGGCAATAGCCTGTGTAATTTGGGGAGTCTGTTGGACTACCCTGGCCAACAACTCAAAGGAAGGTTTCTCCTGTCTGGCACTCTTTTTGTTATGTAGTCTTCAGCTATACACACGGACTCATGTAGAGATATTGTATGTGTAATTTTTCAGTACAGGTTTTTGGACTAATACAATTCCCTCTGATTTTTTATACTAGCTAGGCACTACAAAGTGAACATTCTTAACTCTAGCATAATAGAAGAAAATAATTGGATTTGGGAATAAGCACAGTGTAGGAGATAATTAAAATTTGATTGGATTCATTCTTTTCCAGAAATGCATTAGACATTTTATTTTATATTGTAGCTTTTTCCCATTATTGAACTGAATACTCATTTGCATTTCTAAGTCACTGACTTGTTTTTCTGCTCATCTTTAAAGTCTATAACTGTATAGTAATTTCATCTTGCTCTGAAAGTACTTGGTAGCATATGAATACAGTAATGAAAATTGGTTGTGTATCTCTCTTAGTCAATTTATCTTTCTGGGAAAAAATTAATGATTGGTGAAAAGATAGAATTAAACTCTACATATTTCTAGAAATGTATACAGAGTATTAGAGAATGGTTTCAATTATTTATTACATATTTTATTCTTATATGTATGTGTGCATAATATATGCGAGATGTATGTATAATTCTGGATGTGAGTGTGGGCATGTGTGTGCCACAGCATGTAAAGGTCAGAGGACAACCTTAGGTGTTGGTCCTAGCCTTCTACCTTATCTGAGATAGGACCCTCTCCGCACCACCCCCACCTCCAGGTTTGTTTGGTTGTTTGGCTTTTTTCTAGTACTTTAAATACCAGGCTAGCTGGCTCTTCGAGTTTCCATTGATTCTCCTGTCTCTGCCCCAATCTCAATGTAGAAGCACCTGGATTATAGCTGAATGTTACTGTGCCCAGCTTTACATGGGTACTGGGGATTCAAACTCTAAGGTCTTCATCCTTAGAGGGCAAACACTTTACCCACTGAGCCATCTCCCCAGCCCCTCAAGTTATTTTTAAATAAGATATATTACCTATTGATTTGCTACATTTTCATTAAGAAATCAAGTCATCAGCATGTCAATTGCTTTGGATGTTTGGACACCGTAAAGATCAGCATAATCCAATTTGCTCTAAAGAAAATGAACTTTTGGCTTATAGTGTGGACTAGAATTTTAATTGTAGCTTGTCTCACCAAGGTATTTAGCACTGTTTGATATTTTGTTTATGAAGATGAGCTTTTGGGTTATGCAGTTCATAAAGTTTCAGCTGGGAATGTGAACCTTTCCAATTAGAAATTGCTTAGAGGCCAATCTCTCCCCTCCACTCTACCCTCGATATTGAAAAAATTCTTGTTAGTAAAATGTCACTAGGACAGATTGGTCTATTTACCTTTAGATCCAATCTCCTCCTGCCTTCAGATCTGACCTATACCTGAATCAAGATCAACTTCTTAAAAGACGGCTTTACAGAGTAACATGACTCTTGATGCTTTCTTTTCCTATGGTGGTTTGTGGATATATAAAGGTGACAAGCTCAATTAATTATTAATAGCAGATCTGCACTGCCTGCTACTTTATCTCCACTGAACGGTAGCTTTCATGCTGAGGGAGGGCTAGCCAGGGCATTATGCAAGGAAATTGATCTTGAAGTTAACACAAGCCCATGTGGGATGAGATGGAGTTTTCTTTATCTCTTCTCTTTCTTCTGTATCACCCTCAGTATTTCAGGGGATTTAAGACAATCTTTGCTAAAATAAAGGGGTGGAAAGTTGGTTAGTACAATAGTGTATCAAAATTGTGGAGATATTGTTTTGTCCTAGAAGTGTTCCGCTCTTTCCAGGAGGGAAAGATTTAAAGCTTTGTCTCTTACACACAGTAAGGAAATGCCGACCCGCAGCATCACTATAGGGGGAAATTAGCAGAATCTTAAAACTAGAAATAGGACACCTCACTGGTGTCAGAGCTCATGGTTTAAACCAAGGTGATCCTGTCACTTAGAAGAAGGGGACGGGACCAAAGAGAAGGAATGTCTGAAGTAGATGCTGCAGGGCTAAAGCAGACTCCACGGAAAAGATAAATAGGTGCTTCGAGCTTTCTGGGGTAGGTCTCTATTCACAACCAGTGAGCTATGAGTTGGTCTCATTTCTGACATTCAATCACACCTATATATATTTGCAACCATGATATAGGAAGCTGAGGTTATGTACAAATATAGGAGGATTCTAGCTGTATACGAAAACATAAACCACTAGCAAAATGACATTTTTTTTTTGTATTTTTCTTTTGGCGAATATCTAGCATCCCAATGCTGTCATATATCCATCAAAAGCTCAATTAGCTCCTTTAAAGAAAAAAAAAAGAAAGAAGGGAGAGGAAAGAAGGAACTTTCTGTTTGGAAACTGTCTTGCAGGTGATCAGGATCTACAGTCAGATTACGGACTCGTTAAACAGCATTGAAGTCGTATCCCAGGTTGAAAGGAGCAATACTTCTGAGTGTTGTGCATTAATTAGGGAGTAAACACCGAAAAGCTGTGCTGAAGCCATCTATGAACTCCTGGAGTATAAAGCTGACTCTTATGTCTGCTATATTTCTGACATCTATACTTGTGCTTGGAGGATAGAAGAATTTTGATGACTATTTGAGCTAGATGAATTAAACTGAGTTGTAGCAATACAGTCACATTCACAAGAGAGCAGGAACTGTTTGTATCGAGGTACACTGGTTCCTAGCTACACCCTTTGGGTAGGAAATAGATCCTTTGAGTGGGACTGGTGGATAGAAGAGGAATATGGTGTGACTCCTTGCAATTCATTAGTTATAGGTAGCTTTCCTTTGCCCCTGCTCCATTTTTTCCTGCCATTATTTTGCACTACTCAGAGCTACGTGGGAAGTCATGACATAAGTGTATATTTTGCTTTGGTCTTAATTTTTTCTCTGGGGGAGGGGGGGAAATCAGTGCTGTGTGTTTTCCCAGGAAGATGCTGTCCCAAGACCTTTTCCCAAAGGACTGCTGCTTTGATTCACTCTTTAAAAAAATTGTTTCAGTTTATTTCAATTCTAACCTTGCTAATGCTCATAAAATGCATGCCACAAACAAACTGCAGAGGACGTGAGAGGACAAACCTCGTGGCTATTTACTCTGTTGGCAAAGAGTCTTCTCTTCTGTGCTCTAACCTTCCCCAGCTTGAAGCTGGCCCTTGGTGACAGCTTTCTTTTCAGGACAATGTTGCACAAGGGGTCTGGTGCCACCCCTCCTTTACAGGGTTGCAAACGTCTCGTCAGGGGATAGTACTAAGTCCTTTTACCAGCTGTTCAGTTTTGTGTCCTTCCCTCCTTCATTGTTAACCAAGAATGACTATAAACATAGCATTCTACAGCTGTGTGGCTATGTGACTACTGCAGAATAAGGGGAAACTTTTGGGGTCTGCATCCGCATGCCTCCCTTTGTTTGTTTCCGGCAATACGCAAACCTGCGAATCTGACTGAACTTGACAGATTATTTGGGTTCACCTTGATGACCTTAGCAAACTTTTATTATTTTTATACGGGAAATTGTCACAGCTCCTTCTCACAGGCCACAGGAGTGCCTCTATTGATACAGAGAACTGGGGCATCTTCTTAATAGCCTTCTGTAGGATCTGCCGCCTGGGGAAGACGGTAGCACTGCTCCGCTTCCAGCTGCTGAATCTTCCTTTCCTTTTCTGCTAAAACTTCTTCCAGCTGAGTGATCTTCTCAGTCTGAAGGGAGAGTTGGGTGGACAGCTCCACAATGAAGCTAATCTTTCTATCACCTTCTCCCACTGGTGGGAGGAGGCCTCCATAGAGCACTTCCAGTGAATCGGATGCTAAAGCAAACAAGAAAAGGAAAGTCTGAGCCATTTTCATTGGCGTTCCCAGAACTCAAAGGGGAAAGACAGAAGAGTTTCTCACGTTCTTAAGAGACAGACTGGATGTTGAGTCATCTGGTTAGACATATTGAGAATGGGATCTAGATCCCGTGAGAGAAAAGATTCTGGGTGCTCCTGGAAGAAGCACTTGGAAACCTCAGGAGAGGAAGAAGAATCTGTTTTTGCCAACTCTTTTTTTTTTTTTTTTTTTTTAATACACATTTAACTGTCAGCTAACCATGGGAATGAGTCAACCTTGAAAATCCAACCTTGAAAATCCCCCAAACAACAGCCATCCCACATTTCACGATTCCCTTTTCCCAAAGAACACTCACAAGAGCTACAATAGGGAAAAATATGCTTCAAATTAAATTTCCATCTGAATGAAAAAAAAAGTTTGCTATTGGCCCTTCTGGAGAAAATGATAATGTGGAAAGACTAGGTTCTCAACCCTAGCTGCAGAGTTGGCAAGGGTAGAATTTGAGGCCAGCCAGGAAACTGCGTGGTGTCTCCCTTAGAGGTTCTGTTCCTTGAGGTCTGGTTGGCCTTTTTAAATAAAATCACAAGATCCTCTTGGATATCCAAGCTGAGCTTTTACCATTGCCCTCAGTGACTCTCCAGAGGTGAAGATAAGGAACTGGAAGGGTGACGTTTCAACAAAGAGATGAAGGTTAATCACTGGCCAACTGGGAGTCCTTAAAAACAAACTTCATTTCCCACTCAATGATTTGGCTTCTGGAAGAAACCTGCCTTATTAGACCTCAGCAGCATACCTTTCTTACCACTCTTTTCTTGAAATTTCCACCCTCAGGTTTCTCTAAACCATATAAAGGCATACTGAGGTATAGGCAGGAAGGCATGTCAAAAGCTTAGATATCAGTTTAGGAACAATGGAGCCAATGATCCTGGTTCAAGCCTCAATGGTTGTTACAATATAATTGTAAATCCAGCATTTACTCCATCCCCCAAAAGACAAGTTGCAAGACTTGTCAGCCCTGGATAAAAAAGTTGCCACAGAAGGCAGTTATGGGGGCTTAAGCCTGTATTCCTAGTACTCAGGAGAATAAAACAGGAGGATTACTATGAGTTCTAGACCAGCCTGGAATAAAGACTAAGACCTTAACACACACACACACACTCACACACACACACCCCTTTTGTGTCCCTATATGTGCTATGCTGTTCTGTGCTTGCAAATGATGACTCAAAATTATTAGCAAATAAATGTTACCAGCCATTAGTACTTTCCTAAGCACCTATGACACAATGTGTATCCTTTTACATTCAGAAAAATGAGAGATCCAGTCATTCTCTGTTCTTTGAAATTATTTTTAGCAAGTTATGAAATTTTAGCCATGTCTTAGATACATTCAATAAATAACTAGAACAATAAGAAAGTATTTTTATATAAAAAAAGAACACCTGAGAAATTTTAGTTCTGATTATTTGAAATCCTGAGGCTAATATTAAAGGACACAGTAATTTGTACAACTTCCTAAATTAAGAGCAATGAAAAGGGCAGGAGAGATGACTTAATAGTTAAGAGCACTTACTACTCCAGAGGACCCACACCCTTGATGGGAGGCTAAAATTTGCCTGTAACTCCAGTTCTGGAGTGTCTGATGCCTGCTTCTGGGCTTCACAGGGTCCCCCACACATGTAGCACACATTCACACAGACACACATTTATGTAAACAAAGAAAAACAAAAATATGTTTTAAAGAGCAGTGAAAAAGAATCTTAAAGCTCAAAGAATCATTCAGTTGGTTGCCCCTGTAGTGAGCACATCTCTCCAGCCCAGGGGATGCTATCCATGTGGCAGGAGTCCACATGCAAGTGGGAGCCCAGGGGATGCTGTCCGTACAGTGGGAAGCAATTCTCATCTGCTGATATACTAGGGCCTTACCTTTCATATCTGGCAAGAGCTGTGCTGTCAAGCCCAGTAGCCACATATGACCATTAAGCATTCAAATGTGGCTAGTCCGAACTGAAATGTGCTAGAATATAAGTGTGAAATAAACATTTGGTTTGGAATATTTAGCTTGGAAAAGATGTGAAATATCTCATTTTTGTTGATTTTTGTATTAAAGTAATAATATTTTGAATATCTTTCATCAGAGAAAACGTAGTATTGAAATTTGCTTCATTCCCATGTTCTAACTTTTAAAAAATGTGGCTGTTAGGAAGTTTAAGTCATGTGGCTTACATGTGTGGAACTCTTGTATTTCTATTGGGTGACGCTGGGCAAGTATTTCCACCGCGCAGAAAGCAGTCTCTGAGACCCAGGTGGCTGTGTAACTTATAGGTGCACAGGACTAAGTAGCCCTCAAAGTGCTATTTGGAAGGGAGGATCGGTAGCTCTAAACCACAGATCATTTTTCTATGTCCCCACAGGGTAGAAGCATGGAAGTGCAGGTTTAAGAGAATGCGTTCTTACCGGCTGAAGTAAGTTTCTACGGTAGTGGAAAGGACTGAATGAAAACTGTACAGTAAGGTGAGACAGGTGGGAAGAGGCTAAGGAGCAGCAGCAGGATGCAGAGGTTAGCCCAGGGGTGGGGAAGGCATCTCCGGACCTCCTGCCCTTACTGTGTTTGGCTGTGAGCAGCTTTTATCACTTTGATCCCTCCTTCAAACTGTTCTCTTCCCAAGTTTTCCTTTCTTTCAGAAGTTGTCCTAACCAATATGTGAAATGAAAAAAAGGAGTGTGGTGCCCTTCCAGAAGACACACTGATCACTGATCCTCTCTCTCTCTCTCTCTCTGTCTCTCTCTCTCTCCCCTTTGTTTCTTTTTTAAGATAAAGAAATATATAGATAGGGTAAAAGAGTCTGAAGATAAACCAGAGTATGACGCACTAGAGAGAGAATGTTCTGTTCACCTGTTTCTAATGATAAAGGGGTAAAGAAATGCAGAAGGCCGTACATAGGTGACCCGAAATTATAGAGTTGTGCCACTATACCTAGATAGCACTAGTATAGTATGGTGTGGTATGGTATGGTATGATATGATATGATATGATATGATTATTATATGATGTGATTGATATGACATGAGGCCCCCACCCTCATGACTTAATCCAAGCCCAATTACCTGCATCAGGCCCATTTCTAAATACTATTGCACTGGGGCCAGGACTCTAACATGCTTTTGGGAAAGGCATAATTCAGTCTGTAGCACAGGAAGAAGACAGTTGGAATAGAAAAGAATAGGAAGCCCAAAAAGGAGAGCTAGGAAGAGACCTTAGAATTCCACTGCACTGTTTTTATGTACTAAATAAAGGTTCAGATTAGGAGACAAGATAAGGAGTACGTATATTAAATTGGAAATTTCTCATACAAGTATATTTCATTATTGCATACATGGGTGCACTTACATACAAGCAGGCAATACATACACATAAAATAAATTTAAAAATTTAAAGAATATTTCATTATTAACTAAATTCTTTACACATATAACAAAAATATATTTGTCTATTTCTCTATTTCTTGTGGTGTGTGTGTGTGTGTGTGTGTGTGTGTGTGTGAGAGAGAGAGAGAGAGAGAGAGAGAGAGAGAGAGAATACTATGGTGTATATATAGAGGTCAGAGGACAGCTCCCGGTGTTGATCCTAGCCTTCCATCTTGTTTGAGACAGTGTCTTGATATTTGACACTGCGCTGCATAGTCCAGACCTGAAAGCTTACAGGGATTCTTCTGTCTCTGCCTCCCACCTCATGGTGGAAGTTCTGGGATTGCAGGCACATGGTACAGTGTCTAGCTTTACATGGATTCTGGGGCTCTTAACTCAAGTCCACATGCTTGCATGGCAAGCACTTTACCAACTGAGCCATCTCCCCATCACCCTATTTGTCCTATCTCTAAGCACATTACCAATAACAAAAGTTTTTAAAACTTTTCATCAGCATGCAGGAACTCTAAGTGTCTCCATATCTGTATTGAAAATTTTCTCAGGCCACCCTGGTGAGTTTTCTGAACTCTTTCACTAATCATTGCATTTCCTTGGCAATGATCCCTCATCTGTAGCAGAAAAGGACATGTGTCTTTAAGGCCCTGACAGCTTATATGTCCCAAATCTCAAGCCCTTGCAGTCTTCTCTAGACTTTTCCTGGCAGAAGAGATAGTCTTTCCAATGCCTGGCTATTTATGGAGGTTCTGCCATCTGACCGGGTAAATTTGGGTTTAATTCCATACCCAGAGTCCCCTGGACAGCCACGAAGGGCCATAAGAAAGTCTTGTCTATCTGTGAGAGAGGCACAAACCCAATTAGCCACAGCCAGCACACAACTTTTTTTCATTATTTCCCCTCTTTTTGCCTACATTTAAAATAGAGGTTAATGTGCTGGAAATGTAGTTCAGTGATAGAATGCTTATGTAGCGTGCATAAAGCTGTAGATTTACTCTCCAACCCTGAAGAAAATGGATATAAAAAAGAAGTGCAAATGAGGGTTAAGGGTTGCAACAGAGGATGAAACAGACCGTTATTTGAGTATGAAATGCCTCCCAGGAGCTCATGTGGTGAGTGCTTGACCCCAGCTGTTGACACCTTTTGGGGAAGTTCTGGAACCATTAGGTGGGATCTAGCTGGAGGAAGTGGGTCTTTGAGGGCATAGTGTGGATAGTTGTATTAGATCCCTAATCCCTTCCTTATTCTCCCTTCCTGTCTGCCATGAAGTGAACCACTTCCTCTGCCATCTGTTCCCACTGCCACAATGTTCTGCCCAAGCAACCATAGACTGAATACCCTAAATCATGAGCCAAAATAAATCCTTTCTTTGTAAGTTGTTTCTGTCACATTACTGAAGAAAGTAGCTAGTACATGGGGGCATGTTTAGCAAGATTTGAAAAATGGAGAAGGAACAGCAGCATTGTGTGTGCATTTGGCCCAGGCTATGCTTACTTTTCTATGCCAGCCTAGAAGAACCAAGAGACTAGAAAAACTGTGACATTTGCCTTTGGCC